TTTGGAGTTATGAGCTGAGAGCATTGAGTGCTTTTGACACCGCACACAAGCAGCACTGACACGCACACACATGTCCGGAAAAGAAAGCTCTTCAGTAGAAGCATGGCCCTGGAGTTAATTATAATTTATTGAAATGCTGAATATTCCCTGCAGGCACTTAAAAAGTCCTTCCCAAATCTAGGGGTCTTCTAACGCCCCTTCTCTCTGCTAACCGCCTTAACCACAGGGATTTCCATCAGCTAGGCTGCATCCAAACAGCCAGAGATTCCATCCGTCCGCTCCACCACACGCCAGAGCCCTGAAAACTGAACTCGCTGGGGACAGCGAGTGTGTTTCTCTGAGATACAGTCAGAAACTGGGATTAATTACAGTGGAAGTGTGTACTCATCCTCTCGCTTTATTATCAATTGTTTAATCTATACGTAACATATATATATATATATATATGTATTATATAGAAATAAGCTATGGAAGATTGTGGAAAGCGGCACTTCGGACGCACATTAAGACCAATGCGTCCAGCTCGGTCCATATTGGTAAAATGAAGTCCGAATCTGTGAATATCTTGCCAACTTTCAATACGGATCGATTTTTGGAAGATCGAAATAATGAGATAAGATATGCTTAGGCTCCTCCATAGTTCGGTAAAGTTGGCAAGATATTCACAGATTCAGACTGACGGACCGGTCTGCGTGCTGGACGCATTGGTCTTAATGTGCCGGTAATGATGGTAAATGATGGTTGTAGCTGGTTGTCATCTACGGTCCACTACGGTTACAGAAAGGTGTCGTTTGTGTTTTGACAACGTTTTATCTCATAATTTCGACTTTCTATCCCCTTTCATTAGTGCGGAAATGGGCTTCTATAGTTCTGAGTGCAGCCAATACAAAGACGGGGTTTGTAACCAATTAGATGTCAATACCATGGCGACTGGCTCCGCCCCCTTACTGTCAAAAACAACAACAGCGAGCGCTCGCTTAGCCTCGCGAGCAAGGAAGTTCACGTTCTGCTGAAAAACACACTCAGTTTGAGGTGCTCTTCAGAGAGCACGTACAGATATCTAGAGGTATGACAACATAGTGGGAAGTGGTTGGATCTCACACACGGGAGATTGCAGGGTTCTGAATGTGCCTCCCTGTTTCAGTCCAAGCTAAACCAACAGCAGGCCTGTTCATATAGGGAGGTCTCCGCAGACTCTTTTGGACTGGCAATAACAGCAGTGTCACGGTGTGGTTAACGTCCTGTCTTATTTTGTAGTTTTCTGCCACTCGTGTCCCCGGGTAACTTCACTTCCTGCCTCGTCCTGTCATCCCCTGTGATCATCTGATCGTTTCTACCTGTGTCCAATCACCTGCACCTCCCTAGTGTATTTAAGCCGTGTGTCGCCGTGTGTCTCTTGTGTCACTGGTCATTGTCTATCGTCATGGATGTTCTCGGTTCCTGTGTGCCTTTTTGCCCCCAGTTCCTGTGTGTTTTTGCGCGTTGGCCTTTTGCTTTTGACGATTAAAGTCCTTTTGCTTTCGACGTCTGCGTTTGAGTCCTGCCTTCCCCACGCATCCGTGACAAGCAGATAGCATTAAAGGATTTGATGTGCGATGATAAAGCATAGGGAGCAAGTTTGCTCATCTGATGTATTGCTTGTGCATCATAAACAGAGAAAAATTGGGGAAGGCCGGAGGGGGAGCGAGATAGTGAGCAGACACATTTTTGGCTGCGTTGCCACTGTGGAGTTCTCTCAGCACAATCTGTAAGTGTCAGATCACGACTTATCCTTTGCCCTTGCTTCCTTTTTACCATATCCTCCCATGTTCTCCAATAGACCTGTACAGCATCGCTCCTTTGGCTGCCCTCCTTTTTGAGGTTTTTATATTTCCTTATCCATTTCACCTTTGTTCCCCTCCGTCTTCCTCCTTTCAAGATGATTTCATGTCCAGTGATTTCTCCGGGGAGCCGAGGATAGAAAAGAGGGTACAGATTACCATCCAGGAAATGAGTGTGTGAGAGTGTCTGCACCTGACGGTCAGCTGGGACACACATAACACCAGAGCCATGAGAGTAGGCTGGGGGCATGCCTTCATAACAGGCCTTGAGGGGGCGGAGGGGAAAGGTTGGGAGGCAGAGATAGATGGACCTCGGACTGAGTGATGGTACTAATGGCAGTTTGGCGGTTTAGAGAGCCAAGAGGGCAAACCAAAGGAATGGAGTAGCAATGACCTTGTGTCAAGACAGTGGAAAGAGTCCAACCAGGTCAATGTGACCATAGATGATGATGGAAAGTTGCAAAAAGAGCACTGTTTGAGTCTGAAAGAGAAGGGACTGCAAAGGACAAAGACCAAACCCGGGCCCAGGGGGGAGCAAGGTTTAGGGCTTAATCCAAGCCCACCATCTCAAATGAGAGATACATTGTAAGGACAACATCAGGCAGAGGCCAGTGGTGGGACAAGCAAGATAAAGGCTACAGAGCTTAGCCAGTGAGGACGTAAACACCAGGAGCACAATACTGCTCTGCAAAAGGGACAAAGGCATTGTGGGAAGCTGTTGAAGGGCGCTACGTTAAAAGCGTATCCCCACTAGCTGATTGCGGTGTGTCCCAGGCTGAAAGGTGTTTACTGCTGTACTTGGAAGTTACAGCATAAAACTGTCTGGATGCACTGCAAGCTTGTTGTGTAACAATATTTCCCAAAGTTTGATTAAAGACAATTTGGGGATTATAAAAATGTGGACTCCATATGAAGAGATAAGAAAGCTGAGGGCGTATTGGGTTGAAGGGGAGAACAGGTTTAAATTCCACACCTTGGGTATAAAATTAGGTTATAATTAGAGCAACGTGGGAGTGTTAAATGCAGAATAGACACGAAAGGTCACGGTTTAAGGGCGAGATTCTGGGGTCTAAATGGAGAGCAGGCTCACGGATAGAGGAGAGACAGGAGAGTATGGGGAATAATGATCACAGTTGTTCTAGACACTCGGAAGCATCAAGGGACTTAACCAAAACAGCACAACTTCTTCGCACTCTCTCCCAAAACTCGTTTGCAAGAGCTACAAAAACACACTTGCAGGACTGTTTAAGAAATACAACCCTTTCTCTTATCAGTGCCACTATTATCATAACCCCAAACTGCAATTAGGAGCTTGCGCTACAATTGCTAAGGCGGATATATTGGCCAGCGTTTTATCATCAAGCTCAATAAGTTAGAGACAGCGAGAGAGAGAGGGAGGGTGTTTTTGGCAAAGTTGCACTACCTCTTATTTATCTAGTTTCACAAATCATGTTCATCTTGAGAACACATATTTCATATACCACAAACAGATGATGGAATAATACATGACAGCACCATCTCGGAATCACATTCTTCATCGATGATGACACTTGGCCTGTTCGGACAATCTTTCTTCCAGAACACCCTTTAAAAAACACAGAGGTCATTTTGACTCACTGCTAAAAATGAGATGTGGTATTTGCTGTGCTGATATGCCAGATTGCCACTCTTGTGTGTGTGTGTGTGTGTGTGTGTGTGTGTGTGTGTGTAAGGAGTGAGGTAAGAGCACAGATTAACCATGGTTGATGATTAATACAACTTGACTTACTTGACTTACTGCGAGCAATTATGGCCATGTCTTTTTTCAAACTCGACTTTCTCACACTCGCCAGGGAACACATGGGGGTCCTGAAACATGTGCGCACCAAACATACGCACACACACACACACATGCCATAGATTGCCAGCCCACCCTCCACTCAACCTCAAAACCACAAAGGGTTAAATATAATCAATCTTCTTTAACAATGCTGTCAGGGCACTGTCTGGGAGCGCTGACAGACACACACACACACACACACCCAGATAGTGGCTGCACGCTGATGATGGTGTGTGTAAACCTCTGTGAGCCAGTGGGCAGTGTGTGTATGCTAAAGTCAATGAGTATGGATTACGTTACATATTTACACACACACACACACACACACACACACACACACACACACACACACACACACACACACACACACAGAACGTGTGTTTGTAGGTACCATGTGTGCATAATGCGTAGCGCTTAGGCTAAGCCTTTAGAAAGGTGCCACCTTAAACATAATTAATTATATTTAGGACAGCCTTCAAAAGGTTCCACCAGAGCCCCTAGGATCTATCCAGAATCTCTCAAATTTCCAAAGGTGCTAACAAGAGCCCAGGCAGGAGTCCCATGAGGCTGCTAAAGAGCTGGTGATAATCCAAAATCATGGTTCACTTTTGCAGTTTTTGAGGAGGTGGGGTGGAAGGATATCTTAACACTTTTGTTTCATGAAGAACTCTTTCTTCGAAAAAGGGCTCTTTGGATGATGAGGGTTCTTAGTCAGCCTCACAAAAAAGGTTCATTGGAAGCAATTGCTTTTCGGTAAACTCTCAGCTCTTCAGGAAGAACCCTTCTGGAACCAGGTTTCGAAAAGGAAGACCTGTGGTAAAGTACCTTAATTCTGCATTCCCTCTAATGTCCACCAGGGGGGACTCTTCCGGTCCGACGAGACAAAATGTCTCCACTTCTCTCTGGATTTATTCTCTTAATAAACATTGTAAACATGAGTTTATGGTCTCAAGCTGTAGTTTCAAGTCTTATTCAATACAGCATGATGTTCATTTAGTAAATGATGGCCCATTTAAATATGCCATAAAGCTGTGTATGCTTTAGAGTGGGGCTACCTCATCTAGTGTTGTCTGTTCAGTACGTGTTTGTCTTAGGACTTTTAGGACAACCTTTGTACAGATAAATGAAAAAATAAAGTACTTTTATGTTAAAAAAGAAAAGATATATGCGTATGCTTGTCTGTGCTCCGCGTATATACATTAAGGATGTGCTAATGTATTTCTGGATATACTGCATTGTGTGTGTGTGTGTGTGCGTGTGCACAAGAGCATGTGTGTGGGCATTCAAAATCACAATCAAAATCACAGGGCTGAGGGCCATCAAATATTTCCCAGGCTCTGGGCTTCAGGTATGTGTGGTACCTGAGGGGACTTGTGGGATCTCCAGCTGTACTGGTGACTGTGGACGCTGGCCAGCAACAAATTCTCATCTGTGTCCACCTGGCCAAAGCGCAGCGTCTCGTGGGTGTCGTTACAGATCACATAGTGGCTGAAGACCAGCTCCTCAGCCTCCGGGTTCCCACTCTGAGAGAGAAAACGGGGGGGGGGGGGGGGGGTTGATGGAAGGAGAGAAAGAAGCAGCGGGAAATGAGAAAGGGAACTGCTTGTGAATAAAAGCAAATGCTTCCACGTGTTTATGTTGAGTGTACTATGCATGCACAGTGTGTGTGTAGTGTGTATAAGCACATTTACAGGTGTCAATGTATGTATCCTAAAGATGCAGATCTCGGTAGTGGAGCTGCCAGTCAGCTAGAGAAAGACATGACTAATGTCACCCCTGGGAGCTGCAAAACCTCAATAGGGGAGTGAATCACATCGCAGTCTGACAGCTATGCAGGCTGGAGCAGCTTTAGACGTGGCTTTTGAGGCCAAATCCACCCCTCCAGGAGGCCTCTCCCTTGACCAAAACTCAACTATGTTTTTATTTGAAATCCTTTGTAGAGAAGCTACATTTTGGCCGTAAGATAAACAAAGTATGAGATGTCAACTCAAATGGCAGCATTGTTTATTTGTGCATTTTGTCTCAGTGCAAAGCGGACCACTCAACAGACATTCCTGTGAAATATATTGTGGTTTGTCAGGGAGAAAAACAATATGGTAATAGGTCCGGCCCAACTACAGCAATGGGGTCAACGAGAAAGCCTCACAGAAAATAGGATTTGTTCCGAGTCGCACAGGGACGCCCTCCGCTCACACATCACCTCGCATGTGAGAGTGAAGAGCTTCCTGGCCTGCTCTTGAGAAACGCCGGTTTAACAGGGAGAGATGAGTGTGTCCAGTCTCCTGTGATAGGAATTCAAGTACACAAATTTCAAAACAGCACGCAGTTTGCATGCGAGTAGGATGGCGAGAGCGTGGGCGAAAGTGCATGTGTGAGTTTTTACTTGAGTTCCTTCCAGAGGCTCTCAGGCCCTGACGGGATCTCTCCTGCACACCCCTCCCTCTCTCAGACTGTGGCTCAGCCAGCCCCTCAATAACTACTCAGCTATCCTAACAAAGAGGGACCCTAGCCCGCTGTATACTTTTAAATGGCAGGGGGTTGATGCTTAAGAGAGGCTGGCAGTAAAAGCTCAGGGTCTGACTGCCAAGCACGTTCAGGGCCCCGGGGTTGTTGATGCGATTGAAAACGTATGGGAAAGTTTACACCATTAAAACAGAACACTTCATGATAGATGAGAGAGTGAGAGAGAGCAAAATATGGACGGACGGGACAGCTGCGACAGTGGGTTCAAATCCATTTCCAGTTTTATAGTGGAACACTATCTGCGCTCCCATAGGAATCTGACACTGCGATTTACAAACTTCCTGCTGCCATCCCTAAGATGGCATCCCTAAGCCTGCTCTTTGATGGTATCACCTTTCTGGTCCGATTCACGAGGCAATGCGATACGCACGTCACAAAAGCTCCCTGCTGTAATCATGATCACCTTCTGTCTATCCAGGGGCTTTAAGTGGACAAACATTGGGACAAAAATATTTAAACAGTCAACACGTCTTCCTTGTTAAAGAGCTTGAGATGACAGCTTCTTCTCCAGACGCGCTCCTACTGGAAATCAAAGGATCCATTACGCTAATCCATCCGGGTTTGGTTACTTTTCATAGAGTTGAGCCAAGATCTGCATGGCACAAATAATAAATGGCAAGGTACAGTAAAATGTCTGGAAGTAATGACAGTCAGTCAAAAGAAATACTAATGAAACAAGATGCCATGGAGGAGATAGTGAAATCAGGAAAAAGGGACATAATGAAACAATAATCAGACTCTCCATGTCATGCTGTAGACGACCCTCGCCCACACATTTGGCACAAACAGGAACCTGATCTCTCTATCAATTTCTTTCCGGTTGCAAAGGACAGGAGGAACATTCCTGTTGTTTCAATTGCACATGTAAGCAGCCTGTGAAGTTCTGTGAGAAAGCAGAGTGTGTAAATACTACTGGGCTTTCGTGTGGCTTTCCACCAAAGCCACTTCCCAGTGGTGAGGCGCTGTTATGCGGGGGGGCGGCAAAGATTGAAAGTGGGACTAGGAACAGAATTGAAAATGGAGGCCTGAGGTTAGAGTGGTGGGGGGCTGAGGTTGGGGCCATATGAGCAAAGAGAAGACATACATGAGGGAGAACGTTTTTGATAGAATTATTTATCCTTTCTTTGGAACTTAGAAGCCTTCTGTAGAACTGCAGTTTGACCGTAGCTTTATAAACAAATACTGCACCAGACCAAGCTTTTAGTTTTAGGAATGTTATATTTAAAGCTCAATTTGGAAAGTAATTGGTGAATGGACTTCAACGGAGGCATCACTTTTTTTGTTTTTTAAAGCTCTTCACAAACTTGCGCGCTGATGGCGCTGGCCTCCCCGGTGGGAGCAACTCCGGGTTCAGCATCTTGTTCAGGGACAGAACAACCCAGGGATTGAACCTCCAGCCCAGTTGTCAGTGGACAATCTGATGGACCTCATGTGCAAAATCCAACTTGACTCGACTTGAGGACTTGATTGGGGGTTGGAGCGCAAGCAAAGCGCTGCAGGAGAGGTAAGGTAGAGGAGGGCCTTGGAACATGCAGAGTATCATAATACTTGTAATATATATCTATATTCATGTTGGCATATATACTTGTGACTGTCAGATAGACATTGAAGATGTTATCATTGGCACAAGAGTCCATGTTACCATGACAACAACTGTACATCATAACTTATCATGGCTCTATGAGAATAAATTGCAACCATACACTAAGGAAGCTCTTCTGTATATATTTATTGCTGCATCTGGAAGTGCTCCAGCTGTTCTGGTTGGGGTGGTCTGGTATGACCATGTCTGGGTTGTGAGGTTTCAAAAGTGTGGTAGTTGAGGAATCTTCTCTACGGTTAAATGCTGAACCCTACGGGTCCTATGGGCCACATCACAGCGGGCCTGGCTGCCAGCCTTGACACCAGGAAACATGAAAATCACTGAAACAATTATACACGTTGGGATACATCCTTCTGTTGCGGAGAGACACGCCTGTTAACATTTCCAACTGCTTCTGATTACGTCTTCAATTAGGATCAAGTTTGTTCTGTGCATGGACAATGTGTGTGCATGAGTGTTTCAGGAATGTGATCTCCAGCAGATCAAAAGGTACATTTAGGCTTAACCGGTCCTTTACATCCACATAACGACCAGACGGATTCGGGTTTAATCATTTATCATCATTTTAACTCACAAGATGTTATTTCAGTGAAAACACCAAAAAGGGAAACAACATTTCATGACCTAAGTGTTCGCAACTTTCTCTGAAGTGGACAAAAATATTTATGAAGAGTGTTTTCTTAAAAAAAAAAAAAAAAGTCAGTACTAAAGTCAGAGTCAGTACTTTGTACTTGAGCCCTCTCTTCCCCTTACTCCAGAGCCTCTAAACCCACATGCAGCACATTTGCCTTATAATTATAGCGTGTTTTTTTTGCCCTTGTGTGCAGCAAAGTGGGAAAGGCTGGAGCTAGTTAAAAGGTTTGGTACAGTTTACAAGGCTGCTGCTGTTTAGACCAATCAAGACAATACAGCGGGATTATTCACTTTATGACTCAATCCTGTACACCGGTGGACATGTAAATACAACCTTCGGGGCCTTGACTTTGTGAAGAAAGGTATTCTGTGTGCATCTCTCTGCGTGAGTATTGTTAACCTCTATTTTGGCCTCCAGATATTGGGCAAAGATGGCGTTCAAAAAGCCAAACGTATCCCCCAATCAGTAGGCTATCAGTAAAAGCTTTGGCAAAAGGCAGCAACTAATGAAGCATGCCTTGTTGTGTAAAGCCCACCATGGATACCAGCAGGTCCAAAACAGTCCAGTAAAGCTGCAATATGACCATTCATTACAACGCCGCTAGCACTTCCAAAATCTTATTTATGGCTGAATTAACTAGCAGAAATAGGGAACATTCGCTAGCATGAGCTACATGATGCAATGATGCAGCCAAGGGTCAATTACCCCATTACCCAACGCGGCCGGTTTAAGCTTTGATGAGTCAACGATGCCACCGATGTGAAAACAAAGGGATTAAACTGCTAGCCAGAACGATCATTTTACAGTGGATTTTCTATACAACTCATTTCATTTTATTTCCCACAGGTAACAGAACACCTGGCAGTGTGAGTGTGCATGCATGTAAAACCATGAGAGTACTTGGATGTCTCCAGGAGCCAGCGCATGAGTCAGCAGAGCCACAGCTGAGCGGAGCCATGACAGGGCATGCAAAGCCAAAGAGGCCAGGGTGTGGGTTTGTTCAAGCACGTAGACAAATGGGTGGAGGACTCGGGCCAGATGAAGTCTCGGCAGATGCCAGCATTCGAGTTTTACCGTGTTTTCATGGACATTGCTTCACACCGGAATATATCCTGGCTAACAGAGCTGGGAACTGAGAGATGAGGACGACTCTCTAGTCGGAGCTCCTGGTGAAGTGAACAGCTTTTTAAGTTTTATCGTCGCTGGCCTACAACCCCAAACCACTCTCATGAAATTCACTTTATTGAGTTTGTTTAGCCGATTCTCGGTCTAGGACAAGATACATTATTACTGTGTATTCTCTAATATCATAGCTGTATGCAAGTGGTAGTGATATCTCCCTGTTATGGCAGATCTCCGAAGGTATCCCACTATTTACTATTGCAACTATTACTGTTACACTTGATTATGTTATCTTCTAATATGGCTACCACCACAGAGCCGCTGATGTTAGGTGAAATTGCCTTTGTACAATGACATGTAGGAAATCAACCAGTTTGCATCTGGTCATGGAGCTCATACTTTGTGGTGTTCTCTGGAGTGTATTTGAATATTAAGTGTACATAAAGGTATCTCTTGGTTACCTGTTGCCAGCCGTGCAGGGCAGTGTCCACGGTGTGTATGGCGTACTGGCTGATATTGAGGAACACAGGCTCCACAAACACATTTACATCCAGCGTGGTGTTCTGGGGGCAGCTTGTAGCTGCAGCTTGGCCCTGAAACACACATAACAAAAAAGATCAATAGGAAAAACATCTAAATGAACTGAGTGCTTTGAATAAAAAACATCCAGGCAGACAAACTGGCATAAACCACGGTCTACCTGTAGTAGGCAAGGCTGCAGGATCTGGAGGCGTGTCAAGTTTCGATACTCCAGCAGCTTGCAGTCCAGCTGGGTGGAGAAACTGAACTCCTGACACCGAAGTGGCCCACTGCTCCACTGGCGCAGGAAGACCCGCGGATCCCGAGCGCTGCTCACCATGAACTCCTGCTCCTGAGGCAACTTCCTGTCTGGCAGGAAGGGACGAAGCTGTCTCGGTGGAACTGAGAGCAGACACAGTGTTTGTATTAAGACACTAGACTGATCAAAACATTACAAAAAGCCAATAATAATCAACTTCTCTTTAACCCTGCACTGGCTGTACATTTTAATTGGGTCTACATTCATGAATTTAACTTAAGTTCTATCAACACAAATAAAGGTTATATAGGTGCAGGCTGTGCACTGCTGCACTGGCTGTGTGTGTGTTTTGGAGCGACAGAGGTAGAGAACTATTAACCTTTATCTATAAATGTGCAGAAATGCCAGGTTTAAAAAGAGCTGGTTGAGATTAAAATATTGTTTTGGAACACAAATGTCAAAGTCCTTCTGCGTGTTCTGCATCCTACCTGTGCCCAGCTGCTCCAGATGGTGGCAGAGGCGAATCTCCAGCTGGGCCAGCTGGAGTGACACGCCCAGGGAGGGGACGAACCAGGGTGCAAAGCAGGAATCAACGCGGGTGCAGGCCGCCAACGCAGTGGGGGACACCAACTGATCGCAGTGCAGCTGCGACCCGGACTCACTATCCGAACTGGAGGGGGAAGAGGAGGCACAGCAGATCAGATTTAGTGGTGCTGCTGTCTGGAAAAACCACAACAGAATACTGAAAGCCGAAAATAAAAACAACTCAGGAACTGAATGCACTGAACTTTACATTATTTCATAGGAAAATAATAATGGATGAAAACAAGAGGAATATACGACTAGCAAGCGTTTCTTGATTTTCTATCAAATCTGTTTGGAAAAATCAAAAGCACCGGGCGCAGCTGTGGAATTACATCCAGGCCACAACAATTCTAACCACTAATTAAAATAGTCTGATCCTCATTTGTAGCTGAACGTTCCAGTCTCCTGCCCGCCGAGTTACAAATTGCGCGACATCCTTGTCACCAATCTACAGAGGAGATAAACGCTGCAATTATTGAAACAAAAGGGGGGACACAGTATGAAGGGGGCCTTGTTACTGCCGCAAAGTCCAGGGGAGCCTCTCCGTGAACATTAATTGCATGTCATGGTTGATGATGGGGAATTGAAGGTAGTTAAAGTCAATGACCATTTTCTCTATAATTTGCTGCTACCATGATCCACCATAAAAGATGGAAAACGGTCAGAAACGCTCACAACGAGAGATAAGCATCATACGATGACAATTGACATATGATAGTTGGCGTGGCAGCAAAGTTATTCTTTTCTCGCTGGAAACTAAAGTATAAGGCAGATGAAACAGGCGAGTAAGGAACTCAGTTTTGATTCAAAAAGACAAATAATTTAAACATAAAGGAAATGTAGTGTTTGGGCTATGATTTTTAATGAAATGCAAATTTTTATTTTGCTTTACACTATATCTGGTGTTGCTAGTACTTTTTTCTTTTTTTCTTCTCTTACAGGTTTTTATTCCTTCCTCTCTACTCCTCTGGAGCTCTCTAAGTCACACAGAATGTGGGCTTGGCAATTCTTGAAAAAAAGTAAAAAAAAGTTCTCGAAATCCCGAGAGAAAGTGAGAGAGAGAGAGGTTGGGGGAGGGAGAGACAAAGACAGAGAGAGAGAGAGAGGGGGGGATACAAATTAAGATGAGGAAGGAATGGTGAAAAAGACTGAAATGAAAAATAGTTGAAGCGCTGAAGATGTGACGGGTTGAGCCGTGAGAGAGATGAAGACAGGAAACAGTTGTAGTGAGAAGAGGGGAGTAAAAGCCCCGTTGAGGCGGCAAGAGCTCTTTGCAGGCCTGGACCAACCGGTCCAACCCATCACAGCTCAGCTCGGCCCAACCCACACCAGGTCTGGGAACTCACAAACTAACCCAAAAGGGGGCTCTCCGCTCCTCTTGCTTCTCCTTGAGCTACCCCCTCGATTAGATACACTCAAGGTAAGCAGGAAGGAATCCGGATGGGCCCTGACAGGCACTTGGTGTGCTGGGAAATCTCATTAGGCCGGTCTGAACGCCTTCCAAGCCCGCTCCCTGCTCCTGCACGCCAGATGTGGGGCGAGGGACACATTGCTGGCTCTTTGTGCTCGGCGCTCTCCCTCTGTCTCCTCCCCTCTCTCTCTCTGCTTTCCCTCCCACTGGACGGCACACGTACTGCGCACAGATACAGCTACATATATGCCGGCTCGCCCCCCCACCTCTGCTCATCTCCTCCCTCTCCGTTATTGTTGAGGACTATCCTCCACAGGTCTGAAGCCACCAGCTCCTTCTGTTGGTCGGTGAGGCTAAGGCTGGGCAGCTGCAGCTGGCAGGCGCTGCTCTCCGAGAGGCTGAACTCCCGGTACGGGATGAAGGCCTGCTGGAGCTCGTCCCAGTACTCAAGGCTGCACGGTACCTGAAAGCAAAAGACACAGGCAATGACTTACATATGTAGCTCCCGGATATGTATCTCATTTAGGTTTTTATGTGTCCTCCATAAATCAGGGTAATGGTCTCAGATTAAAGTTTATTTTAACACATGATGTGTAATATGGTGACGTTGTGAAGTAGTGTGGGATCATGGGAGTTGTTGTCTCCGCTACTCTTGCATTCAATGCAGTTAGCCTCTCCTTAAAGATTCATTTTGTGCTGAGGTTTTTACCACCGAGGTCTCTTCTCCCAAAGAGACAATATTATCAAAGCTGATGAAGGCAGTTTATGTTAGGAGCAGTGTGTAGCATTAACTTAGTTTCAGTGTTTCCATAATATAAGAGGGGGGCGCTCCCCTAAAATTACCCCCCACCCCCTAAAAGGGTGCAATTAAAAAATTTGTATACTGGGAAATTTTTTCCACCTCACAGCACCGGAGAAACAACATTTTGTGTAAAAGGATAAGGCTGAGATGAAAAGGGGCTAGGAGCTCTCTTACATCTGCTTGTGCAAACAAAAAAGATACGTCTGAAAGGATTTAAAAGGTTTTTTTCAGCCATTCTTCTCATTTGTTGAGCAAACACAGTCTGACTGGTGGACAATGTCACAAAGGATACTATGACAGCTCTTTCCCGTGCTTTTGTTAATGCAAATCCTACTTAAACCTGTGGATGCTCCCCATAGAGAGACACATTTTTGAGGAATCAAAGACACTGATGTGCGCTCTCCTATCCCTTTGGGTTACATGATTATAGGCCCACCTCAAATATACACCAGCTGAGTTTGTTTCAGTTAAAGATATATGGTTTTGTTTCAGAATTGCGTCTACCAAGTTACACATAAAGGATGAAGCAGTGGTCTGCTAATCATCCATCACTGTTTACTGTTCATACAGGACACAGGAATTCCCCGGCTCGGGGAAGGTATAAGCAGTATATTTTGTTGAATAGCGTTTGCTTTACTACCTTTAATTCTACTCACCCATCTTTTATTTCTCATCTAGTCTGAAAAAAACAAACGACCCCCAACGCAGCAAGACAAACTATGTCTGCATGACTGAACCCCGGGCCATGTATGCTACGAGGGAGCCATTAGCCTGGAAGGTTCTGAGCTGTTTCTCACACTGAATAACAATCAGCTTGTGTGAACAGACACTGTGGCTACACTCGGCACTCACACATCGTGCCAGAATTAGCATAAATGTGTCTGGTGCTCCTGTGTGAACTAAACGCAGGTTCTCACGTTCCCTCGGCCAGCTGCGCCACACTGATGGATCAGAGATGGCAGGGAGCTTTTTGTAGCACACCTGAAGGATGCCAGGCGGTAAGAGGTGTGTGTGTGTTGTATCTGGGTGAGCGAGGGCATTTGTCCAAGCACATGCGTCTTTGACATCCAATTACTGTTAACCAAGGTATCTATGCTCCCCGGGCGCAGACCAAACCCCACTTAACTGTCAACAAGTCTGTGTGCGGGTATGGGAGAACTTTTGTGCTCACAAAACGTGTGTGTGTGCTGTGGGGCTGCTGTACTGTTCGGGGAGGAATGCATGAGGTAACCGTGAGCTTACATCATGTATGAAATGCCACACAGGTTTTCCTGGAATCCACTCCTCATAACTGTACCCAACAAGAGCGGTGCACCCTAACCCCAAAATCACTGACTCTCAGCGAAACTAAGAGGGTTTTTTTCACACATGACGGCATGCAGACACAAATATGCGAGGTGCATGCATGGTACGGTGCATGGAACACATTTGCATGGCTGAACGTGCATCATGTTCTCTTTGACCTTTGAAAAGTGGAGATGAATTTGATAACCAGCTCTCAACAGAATTATTTTAATGGAGATCTTGGAAAAAGAACCCCCTCAAAATATATATATATTTTTTAGCTACATTTGAGTTGGACGTCTGGCAAGGGTTTCTGGGAGGAAAAGGCACCTGTGTATATGTCAAACAGATTGTGTATACGTGTCCACGTATAATTTCCTGTATGAAAGACAATACGCCTGTATACACGTGTGTATACACAGGTGTGCGCACGTATGTGAGTGCGTGATACAGTCCGGCCAGCGTCGGTTTCCGCTGCCTGATTGTGTGTGTACCTTATCTGATAAACAACATGTAACCCTGAATAGCTGACATTCCCCTTTGGCTGAAAGGGGTGCAATCTGTGTTCCCTTCAATTTTATAGAGCATAATATTCAAAAACTCTGTATGAACGCATTGAAATCCAGGACTGTTGGCAGCATTGTGTACACACACATCTGATTTCCATCCCTGTCACCCAGAACCTGTTCCTGCCAAACCGCAACATACTTCTCTGCATGGAGTTACTTCTCTGGGGCTGATTGACCAATCACAGTCTCTCCCTCAAATAGAAGGGTTAACTGAAGGCAGGCAAAACTAAAGCAAATACACAACACAGAAATGATTTCAATTTCCGTGATGGACCCAGGTGCAATCGCTGCTGAAGTTTAAACATGTCCGAGGAACTGAAGACTCCCCGAGCTCCCAGCTGAGGCTGCGGCCGCCGACCGCCGTTGCTCCTATTAACAATATCAACACTGCTATTAGGTCTTTTGTTATTCCACTGATGCCTATGTGTCCGAAAAATCCACTGCTAGCTACCTTTTATCAGCCAGTGGACTAATTGAATTGACGTCGGCTTGAGCAAATGTTTACACAGGAGATGTAATGAAAATTGTTCTGAAAACGACTCCCGCTATGCTGTCTCAGGTGGGCTAATGAAGGTTAACAATAATCGGAATGGAAAATCCCACGCTGAGATCCTCGCGATCCACTTTCCCTCTTTTTTCCTCTGTAATGCCAAACCTTTTGGTGGACGAGGTGTAAAAGCTCCAGATCAAATTAACCAAACGGACGGTCTTGTGTTTTCAAAGTGCATTGGGTGTGAGTAACGCAGGTCCGGCTGAGCGCCGTTCCAGAGAAACATCAGTGAGATCTCTTTTTATCCCCTTTGCTCGTACCCCCCTGTAAACGAGATGGAACAGGGGGGGTAAAAGGGGGACCTGCGATTCTCGTGATAACAACAATGGCAGCAACAACAGCTGCAGAAGTGGTTACGACGCGAAGGTTCACGTCAGGCCACAGAGCTTTAACGATATCGGTCCCAGGCCCAGCAGGGCTCGCAATGGCAGCGCGAAAGCCCTGCCGGGGCATGAAAGCCTATCCCACAGCGCCATGTACGGAGAAGCAACAGCAGGGGACCAGATGGGGTGATGTTTGCAATTTTGGGGCAGCCGCCCAAACAACAAAGGGATGATCACATCTATTTGCATATTGGGAAAAAAGGAGTATGACTACATGCTGAGGCTGAACTCCACTTTAACAAACTGCACCTTCTCCTGGCAGGCGGAATCATCAGCTCCCGTGTTTACTCCCGGTTTCTCAGGCTTTCAGAGCCCCGCAGAGAGGCAGCGAATCGACAGAGAGACCCACGGAAAAAGGGAGCAGTGAGGACACCTGCTTATGATTCAGAGGGCTGGACCACACGCCGTGAGAAGGTGAGAATGAGTCACCCTCTATCCCCTCCTCATCACCCGGGCCCTCTAAGGGCGGGGTGCGTTTCCTGCCTGTAGAGGGCACGTGTGATGATGAGGAAATAGAAGGCCCCCACCCCCCTCCCGAAACCAATCACTCATGGTTACCCTTCTACTGTGTGTAAAAAAACAGTGCAGGACAGCAATTTAACTTGGAGTAATGGAAGGTTTCGAATTCCCCGTCCGATACACTGGAACCAGTTGGGAAACCCCAACTTTTCAAATCCAGGAAATCGCGGTTTTTTAAAATTTTAATTTGATCTCTTCCGGGGGGACAAGGGAGCACCAACCCCCCCCCCCCCCCCCCCTCCCCTCTCCCAGCCCCACCTTCCATCAATTCAGATGGGTGGAGGTGGGGAGCAAAGGAAAGAAGGAGGGGGTGAGAAAAGCAGTGAGAGGAGAGAGAAGGGCAGGACGAGTAAAATGAAAAGACAAAGAAAAAATGATGAGGAGCCACTTTTATTTTGTTCTCCCCGGGCTCTCTGTCCACCTGTCATCAAACAGACTGAGATAAAGAACAAGACAGCTCGATGCTACGATCCCTCTCTCCCTCTGGGCTTCTATCTTTTTCCAATGCCTCTCACTTTCCATTTCTCTAACCGTTCAGCGGCCACAGTGTCATTTTAGAGGCCAAATCCTTTTGGAACTTAAACTAGACCATTACGGTTTTGTTTTTATCACTGTGTTTAAAAGGCTTCTTTTAGCCATTCTTCTCACTTGTTGTGCAAACACAGTCTGACTGGTGGACAATGTCACAGGACACAAAATATGAATCTAAAATTGATTGATTCAAGAATGCTAATTGCTTGACAATCATTCATTTTAAAGGAAATGCACTTTTATTATTTTATTTAATCATCTCTTTCAATAAACAATGAAGGTTATCATTTTAAGGTTGTTAAAATGCCCCCAGCTGCGGAAGTGTCCCAGCGTGGATGAGACTTGATGTGGGTTTTACACAAACATAAGCTAAAGAGTTAGGACAGTCACTCCTTAAAAGTGGTTTCTTTTTCTCTTTTACAACTCGTTAAGACACTTTTGTTAGGTGTTAATAAGCATCTTTACGTTTCTCCGCCCTCCTCTCCATCCTATCCGCACACAAAGAGTATTCGGACCCTCCTCTCCTCATCACTCCCCCACCGTGAATCATTACCTGATTCCTTTTAACAGACTTGTCAGACGAGCCAGATGACACAACACGCGCAGCATAAGATGAGGAAACCAAATGTTCAAATCTGTCTGCAGTCACAGAGAAGGAAGCACACATCTCCACACTATCTGCAGCCCTCATATTTGAAACAACACTGTGAAAGTGAGCGATGCACCTCTCTTCGATGAACCCTCTCCCTTGAACTATAGAAAGGACGACACCTCCACCCGTTTTCATCTCTCTCCAATCCCTCTTTCCAGTGTATCCACAACCCCCCCCCCCCCCCCCCCCCCCTCCTCTGTCATACATCAGCCCCCTAGCTCTCCACTGTAACTCAATATGTGGCCAATCAGCGAGAGGCTTTGGAGTTTCGCTCATTATAGACTTTACAGCTGTAGGGCCGGGAAGCCAGACATCTGCACCACCTTCCAGTACCATGTCCGTCCGGGGCCGACGTGAACAGACCAGAAGAGACATCTGCGCTGTAGGTGAAATGATTATGGGAGTCCGGGAAGGAATCGGAGAGATAAAGGGGAGAATGTGCTGGGGTGGGAAACTGCTGCAGATGGAGGAAGCGAAAAAGAAAAGAGAAAAAAAGAGAAAAGGAAGCTTAACGCCAAGGCTTGCACATGTTATTAAGGGGCTGGGGATGTGATAAAACTACGTAATTCATTCCAGTAATAACAAGAGACCATGTTGTGACGGGATCACACCAGCTGCAATCTGACCAGGTGCTGAATGCTGCCTTCCTCACTTCTGACCCACCGGCTTCGACCCTACCGTCTATCACACCCCTCAACCGTGGTGCATGGAGTAGAGAGGGTGCGCCGGGAACCGCAGGGTTGGCGGTTTGAACCCCGGCTGCTCCATGTCCAATGCCAAAGTGTCCCTGAGCAAGACACCCAACCCCTAACTGCTCCCCGGGCGCCTTTAAGGCACCACACTGCTCCCACTGTGTGGGTTAGGGTTAAATGCAGAGAACAATTTCCTGTATGTGTAAAATAATACTTGGCAATAAAAATGGCTTCTTCTTCAATGACTGCATCCAGTGACGCAATTGTGGTGACGAACAACAGATTTTTCATCAAAAGAGACATGGAACGTTTTAAGTAGCTTCTATATCCCATTGCTATAATGTCATCTTTTATTCTATTACATTTGTTAGCTATCCTTGCATTGCGTTTCCCTGTAAGTCGCTGGAGGGATGATCATCACCTTCTGCTTCCACGTAACTTTATAAGACCTTTGTACGAAAGAATTCGTAAGAACCTAAATAACGGCAGAAATTAAAACAGCATCTGACTTAACATAACCAAAACAAGCTGTGAAACTTGATATGGGAAGGAAAAAGAACAGGAACAATGCATTAGTTCAGCAACAGTACTGGATTAGGCGTAGCTAATGGGATGACAAAAAACATGTTTTGTATATTGTATTACCAGAAATGCCGTTCCTATTTGCATGGTCAATAAATAAAAGAACACTGAGTGATTTGGAGCTTTCAATAGTGTTAGGGATTTTTACCTAAAAATAGCTCCAGGAAAAAAAACAGTTTACGGAGGTTGATATGAAAAAACAGGATTAGGGACCCAGCTCGCCCTAGAGGACAATAAGGTGGAAAGTAAGGCAGAGGATAGAGAAAACAAGGATGAGTGATAGAGGGAAAGTGGGTTGTCCTGTTCCCCGGTGAGGCCCTGTAGACCCAGTAGCTGCTACGCTCTGCCAAATTATAACCTCATCTGGGGTTAGAGACACCTGGCTATTCACACCAGAGCATGCATGATGACTTCTACAGCTGTCTGACCATGTAGTACATGTTTGGAGAGTCAGCAGGGGTCTCTGTCATTCAATAACACAGAGAGCATGGAAGTTCTCATGACTCATGTCGTGGGAATTATAAATGGCCCCCGGACTAACTCCAAGACAGTTTATTTCTCTTTCCTTGCAGGTGATGTTAGGCAGGGAGCAGTGAGAGACGAGTCTCTTACGCCTTCCTGATACAGTAGTCGGCTTGCCTTCCTTGGAGTTTTCCATATTTATTCACAATATGCTGGGTGTTTATGTCTGATAAGTGATTTTAGAACAATAGTAGAGGTGGATAATTTTCATTGCCAGAGTAAAATGTAGTTTGCATAATGAAATGTATTTGCATAAGTGTTGAGCCAGGGAAGTCAACAGAAAGTGACCCAATGAACAACATTAGATGTACGGTGTGACCAGAGCTCTGCAGAAACGCCATCCAACATGAGGAAGATGAGATCACAACGTCCATCGCACACTGGCTTATTTTGTGTTCAATAAAAACATTCAGCATCAGCGGTGCTGCCAGGATTGGTCTTCTAATCAAGTGGTACACACATGCGTGGCGCCCCCTACCTGCAGAGTGTCCCCCAGGTCAGCAGTGCTGATCTCCGGGTCCTCCGTGGTGTTGAAAGGGACAGGAGTTATCCTGACGAAGGTAAGAACGCGGGGCTCTGGGTACCTCCACAGCATCACCCCCGGGCTGTCCTCCGTCTCCCTGTAGAACACCACCTCATGGGGCCCCGGCAGTCTCTGGGAAGCTGCCACAAAATCCGGAATTAGGAACATTTCTTGCCAAAATATGTTAGACATACGAGGAATTCGACATGGCGGTTGGTGCATAACATCAGATAGTAACAATGGACAACAAGACATATGATAACTCTATGATGGTCGAGTAGAAGTGCACCATCATCATCTTAGGCAGGTTGAATTTCTTTAGCTGCCTTAGGAAGAACAACCTCTGCTGAGCCTTCTTGGTGATGGAGCTGATGTTCAGCTCCCACTTGAGGTTCTGGGTAATGATGGAGCCCAGAAAACAGAAGGAGTCCACAGCGGTGACGGGGGAGTCACACAGGTTGATGGGGGAAGGTGGGGCTCCGTTCTTCCTGAAATCCACAACCATCTCCACTGTCTTTAGAGCGTTGAGCTCCAGGTTGTTTTGACTGCACCACGACACCAGATGGTCAGACTCCCACCTGTAGGCGGACTCATCCCCACCAGAGATTAGTCCAATGAGGGTGGTGTCATCCGCAAACCTCAGGAGCTTGACGGACTGGTTGCTGGAGGTGCAGCTGTCGGTGTACAGGGAGAAGAGCAGTGGGGAAAGAACGCAGCCTTGGGGGAAACTGGTGCTCATGGTCCGGAAGGCTGAGGTGTTTCCCTAGCTTCAGGTGCTGCTTCCTGTCAGACAGGAAGTCAGTGATCCACCTGCGGGTGAAGTCGGGCACGTGCAGCTGGGAGAGTTTGTCCTGCAGCAGAGACGGGATGATGGTGTTGAAAGCAGAGCTGAAGTCCACAAACAGGTTTCTGCCGTAGGTTCCTGGGGATTCCAGATGCTGGAGGATGTAGTGGAGGACCATGTATTTTATATTTCGGGAAATTAGATCATGATATCATTAAACAAAAGTATACTACTCCGCAGGATTCCAGAAGAAAAAGCCTCTCTGTACATTTACATATGCAGGAAGATGACAACTTGAAAGTGAGATGCATGACAGTTTCTTGCCGTTATGCAAACAACCTGGTGAGGCAGAAAACAACAACAACGTGACGTGTTGCTCTACTACGGAATCTGAACCCTCCCAGTGCTGTAGATGGTTCCACGCTTTCAGAATGTTTATATGCGTCAGAAGCCGTGTATAAACAAAGTGGCTGAGTAAACATTTTGGCTGTGGTGTAAACAGCCATCGATTGAGCACCGCCAAGCACCTGCAAAAGCTGGACCACGCCGGGTCTGAACCTCCGAGTGGTGTTTGACTTAAGTCGTGGCTGCTGTTTGGGATTCAAGTCCTTTGGAAAATGTTTATTTGAAAAAAACAGTGGAGCGGAGAACTGCTGCTTCGTTTGGCCTCCAGAGGCACAAACACTGCAGCAAAATCTGTACACGACAACAAAAAGTGTCGTCCTTCATGTGAAAGCGGTGAGCTTCCCTCTTGAGGGGTAAACGGCAGAATTGTTCTTTTGAGGAAAAGACCCAACGCTTTCATGAAGTTTTGCTTGCAGTGAGAGACGGGGGACAGAAGAAGTCTCCTCTACCCGTCCCTCAGTCCATCCTTCATCTCCCATCCATTTCTGTGTTGGGCCCCTAGGGGCCACTTGCTGTTCTCTGCTTTTCACCGAGTGCCCCGGTTTCCCCCTGACCGCTGACATGTTGCAGACAGATTGTAGTTCACTACTGTAAGTTCTCCTGCTCCATCCAGCATATTAAACGCATCAAAGACCAGTGGAACAGTGCAACAAACAAAGACTCAACCACAGCTGACAGAGTGGACGGCTGGTCTACAGCCAGAAACAAGTTTGATCCTCTGTGTATAATGTTGTGTGTCTGTGTGTGTGTGTGTTTGTGCATGCAGAGGACAGCGCACACAGAGCACAAAGAGGGGGAATAAACAGCATGTTACTCAGAGTGGAACCAGGCAGACATGTCCGATGAACTTCTCTCCAAAGAGGACTTTGATCTGACTTTGATTTAAGGCCATGTGAATCTTAAGTGACATCTCATTTTGGCACAAAGGTTCCTTTTTTCTTTTAAAACCTTGCCGTGAATGTGCACGCTTGTATCTTAGAAGCGCGAGTTTAACCTAAATGCTCAGAACAGTAAAAGATGCTGTCGCACTGCTTGTGCAGAATGCCGGCCTGGCTCGTGTGATCTGGGGGAGCGAACACGGACATTGGCCTACGGCTGTTCGGAAGCTGGCCAGCAAGCAGCAAAGTGAGGGTCAAGTTGACTGCAGCTTTGTGCTGGTGAAACCACGTTTGCCCACACAGATCAGATATGCTCCTCAGAGAGGATTTACATTTTCAGATACAGCTCTATGCACTAACTCACATGCACGCGTCTATTCATGGTGATGCGTTCAGAGGTCAGAGGTTCTTGGGTTCAAAGGTCATGCAGCTATGGTAGGAAGCTCTGTTGGTGCTGGTCAGGACTGATGAAAAGCTTCTCACCATATTACAGCAAAAGAAACTAGTCTGTTTGAATCTGCACGAACAGAACTTTGAGTTAGCTCTTGTAAAATCAACTTGAGCATATAGCCATAACGTAATAATGACAGACGTGGGTAAAGTCCATCCAGTGAATTCAGGGACTTGTGCAGTGTTCCATTCTTTCGGAAATCCGTGGCAAGAAATAGCTTTGATAACGTACGTCCAGGCATACTTTTTCTGTTTGTGGCTAAATGCTAGGAATGCAGCTAATACATTGTAATATTCTAGTGGGGGGGCATTCTGACAGATGCAAAGCTCCACGTAGCCATCACATTACTAAGAAACAGCGCAGGCCACTAACATTCACCTGAGTCCTGGATGTACTGGAAATGTCCTGTGCGGAGGTCATCTGAGCTGTGCTCCATCCGGGGGGAGGGAGAGCCCAGGGACGGAGGCGGCTGGATGTGGCAGGCGTTGCCCAGGGAACGGCTCTCTGACGGATGTGGATCTGCACCTTTCTGGAGGTTGAGGTAGACCCTCAGATGCTCCTCCACTAGCTTCAGGCAGCTCAGGTGTTCCTGGCCCCAGAAGACCTGTCAGGGGGGCACAGGGGGATAAGACACGGTAGGTAGACAAGGTAGACAGTGGACGCAGACTCACAGCTGACGCATAAATACGTATTTTCACCATCATTTTACACCCTTCTCCAAAACAGGAAGAGAGGCGGTCGGGATTACCCTTGTCATCACCCCTTCATGTCCTGTCTCGTATTGGCCAACACAACCTCACATCCTCCTCACGTACCCGCGGCATTCCCCTTCCCTGAGCTCCCTCAAAGCCAGTCGGCCTGGGGTTTGGATCGAGGACCCGGAATCTCTGAGTCAAAAACTCTTCACACATCCTGCCACATTAGCTGGCTGACTGACTAAACTCTGAAAACAGGAACATTTGGGGATTTCTTTTCTCCCTTAGTTTTTGGGTAAAGAGTAGAGAAATCGGAAGGAATTCCGGTGGTTTTTCGGCACATTACTTGATTGAAACACCACACACGCCAATACTTACAGTGGGAAACGCATGATTGTATATTAAGTGTTGAGTTATGAGTCATGTTTCTGCTAATGGGCACGCGATAAAAGCACTACACGCGCTAAAGCGAATGGGGGGAGAGGGTTAGGGGCTTCCCTCCAAAGAAGTAATGTGGAATAGTAGCCCTACATTACAAATAATGCGCTCAGTTAGTCACATTGAAAAAAGGGACTTTTCCTGTGGACCATTATGTAACTCCACACAGGAAAATGGGCGCACATAGGATAAAACCAAGCGCTAAAAATAGCCTGTTCATATTCCACCACTGAACCGGCGAACAGGACTCAAATATAGAGCAGAATTAGCATGCGCTAATGCACTATCCAAGGACGCTAGTTTAGGCGTCCTTAGATAGACAACTCACAAGTGTCGAGGTGCTGATCTGACGCGGCACCTGAGACACTGTAGCTGTTGATAAATCCTGCCACTCAGGATGCTCAACTGATGTCACTGGTATACAGACCTGCAGCAGGCCTCCCTTCAGATCCAGCAGCATTTTGGGAGCGCCGGGCTCAGGTCCGGGGCTCCCGCTGTGCCGACACCAGCGGGCCTCCAGGGAAGCGCTGCAGGAGAACGGCCCCAGCAGGAGGCGGCTCCGCTCCCTCAGCCCTGTCCTCGCTGACAGATCCTGCAGCTGCAAATGTACGGACGCAGCCTGGACAGCATCTGGGGAGCAAGGAAGGCGCGGCAATGAGGAGCACAGGGTGGAACTATGGAGGGGAGTAAAGCGTAAAAAACGATCTAGACTGTGATGAGGAAAAACGTCTGGTTGGTGATACCCAGTGTACTAAGGAGTTGCCGTGATTAATTTGGGGGAAAAAAAGGTTCAAATACACAGGGAAATGTGTAAAATAAATACCAAGGTTCCAAAGTGAAAAATTGATATTCCTACTTATAAACAAAAGCTAACACAGTTCATTGATACAAGTGCAACCAAGCCTGATGAACCCGGAAACCTTAAACAATCCATCCTCAGAACTCATCTGCATGAATGCTTGCCTCTGTGGTTTTTAACCAGGATACCAATTACTACGACAGTCTGCCTGTGTGATGTCACATCTCTGGCCTCCGAACTACTGTAGTCATTTGCAGGTATTAACACTACCACTTGGCCTGCCTCCTGGAAAGGAGAACATGATTTGCTGCTCTTTAAAAATAACCAAAAAGAACCTTTAGCTTTATGATTGTAAATGGACGTACGATGAACCTTTCAAAAGTACACAGGCACAGAGGAAGCTATCAAAAAGACTGGCTATATGCAGTGCTATGAAAAAGTATTTGCGCCGGTTTCTGGTTTCTTATATTATTTGTCAAAATTAAATGCTTCAGCTCTTTAAACACATTTTGATATTAGACAAATATAACCCGAGTAAATACAAAATGCAGTTTTCATATGATAATTTAATATTCTAAGTGTAAAAAGCTTTCCAAACCTACTTTGTTCTATGTGAAAAAGTAATTGCACCCCTGTGATAAATCATAAATAAACTGTTATTAGCCACAGTTTTTGGAAAGCGTGGTTAAATTCCATCCACTGTCCACATCGAGCTCTGATTACTGCCAGACCTGTCGAATCAAGAAACCTCTTAAATAGAACCTGCATGACAAAGTGAAGTATGAGGGGGCCGGCCTACTAAAGTTACTCTAAGAGCGCATCGACGACTCATCAAGGATGTCATGAAAGACCTCAGAACAACATGTGAAGAAGCCCTCAGTTAAGGTTGGAGGTCATGACTCAACAGAAAGAAAGAGACGGGACAAACGTGGTATCCATGCAAGAGTTCCAAGGAGAAAGCCATCGCTGCCCAAGAAGACTTGTTTTTTCCAAAAAACATCTTGATGACCCCCAAGCCTTTTGGGAAACATTCTGTGAACGGATGAGACCAAAGTGGAACTTTTCGGATGGTGCCTCTTACATCTGCCGTGAAAGTAACAGAGCATTTCACAACAATTACATCATACCACCAGTTACACTACAGGGGGCAGTGTGATGGTCGGGAGCTGCTTCAGGACCTGGACCACTTGACATAACTGATGGAACCATGAATTCTGCGCTCTACCAGAAAAACCAGAAGGACAATGTCCAGCCATCAGTGTGTGACCTTAAAGCTCAAGAGCACTTGGGTTCTGCAGGAGGACAATGATTCGAACTCCCCCAGCAAGTCAACCTGAATGGCTGTAGAAGGAGCTAGATGAAGGTTTTGGAGTGGCCTCGCCAAAGTCTGGACTTAAATCCGATTGAGATGCTTTGACATCAAGGGGCAACAGAAAGTAGCCACACACGTGTTTTAGTCCCTTGCTAAGAGTTAGGCAATAAAGTTTCTATTTTTTACTGGCTTGATCTTAACATGTCAACGATAGTACAAAATAGAAAGGGACGTTTTCAAAGTAAAGGACAGTATATCAACCATTGTCTACAACACAACCAGAGGTGAACAATGGTAAAACCCAAGATGAACACTCAAAAGTGACATTATACGATATCAGTATCCTTTTATTTAAGTTGTGGCCAGAAAGTTTTGTTCCAAAAATGATTATTCGGCACACAGACTTTATATAAGAAGCGTACGCAATTCTTGTTGACAGAAGACATTATGGCTGGATCCAGCGGTTTCCTTTCTCAGACCCAGAGGTTAGCGCTTGGTACTGCAGCGCCATGATACCGCATCTACACAGGTTGGACTCAGCGCTCCACCTGTCCGCTGTGATTCCTGGGTACTTAGGGGGTTTCTACTGGCTGAATTAGAGCAGCAGATCCAGCTGCCGGAGCCCACCTGAAACCCCCGTTTCACAAATATGCCAATTCTATGTGATTTTATTTTATATTAAAAAATATATGTTTAAATATGAGTCCTCTGAGGAAAGAGCATGACCTCAGTTTGCTTGAGGTTTACCTGAGGTAAAGCAGGCCAAATGGAAGAGATGCAATGGCCTGTGAAAGGAGTGAGCCGATAAATGACGATACAACTAGGTATAGAGAGGGAAGGAGCGTGAGAGAAAGAGAAAGAGAGCTACTATGTGATGAAGAAATGTCACACAAGCATCCTCACATCTTCCCATGCTCGGTCAGCTGACGAAGGAACATCTCATTCAACGTTAGAGCACAGTAACACTATAGCACAGGTGTCCAGTGAAAGACTGCTGCTCTTGTATAAATCGTTGTGGGGTGAAATATTATACCGGGGTGACTCATTTCTCTCAGGAAAGACACCATCGATGCACGTTGGCAGTCCTAGCGGTGTTGCGGCGAGCTGTTGGAGATTCCTACTGAACTGTGGACGTGGGGTTTATTTTCACGGCTGAGATTTATTACACAGCGCAAAGGGAACTCTTAAACTGGCTTCCTAAACGGACGATTTTTCATTCACACGCGTAGAGAAGGAGATACACATGTTAATAAACACATACATAAAAAAAGACAAATGCATGTGAATGCAGACCATGCAGAATCAGGTGGCAAGTTGAAATAAAACACACGCACACACACACACTGTGCATCAAAGCATTCTCTCCAGTCTCAGTATGCGTCATTGAGAGCCCAGTGGACCGCAGCATCCTGCTGCTCCAGCAGCAGCAGCCAGTGCTCTAATAATCGCCCTGATCGGGAGTGGTTTTAATGAGGGGAATCCCTTTCTTTCTTCACATCTTAACTCCGTTATTCCATCCAGGTTGAATAACAGTTAGAGGCGCTCTCGGCATATATGAACGTACCATTATGTTTGTTTTCCAGATATGAGTCAGCATACAAGCTCAATAGACATTACGCTGCTGAGCTGGGAGCCTCGTGCCATGAGAAGGGAGGAGCACAGGGGAATGTTAAGGAGGTGAAGGCGAACTGCTGGGAGAGCTGTGGGCCTGCGTTTGCCACGATGGAGAAAGCGTTCATGGAGGATGACAGAAAGCAAGAAGAAAAAGAAACAATGGGAAAACCAAACAAACATGGACACATAAACGAGAGTGCATGACAATGAAGATAATAAAGGAGCAGAAGATACTTTTTGAAGTGTTGACCTTTGACACATAGTGACAGTAAGAGAAATTATGAATATTGGAGGTGTGGACAGACAGTCATCAGCGAATCACCACAAGTGCGGGTTCTAATGCGGGTTTTTGTCCCCTTTGGTCAGTGTATTCCCTTGGAGGATGGAGGATAGTGCGCCTCCAGTTTGAAGAAACAAACTCGATATACTGCTGTGGACAGGGTGTAGAAGTAAAAACGCATATTAGATGTGAAAAAACCCGAAAGTAGACGTTATATTTAGAATATTTTCACCGCTTTATCAGACTAAGCTGAAAATGAAACTAATCTAAGTTCTCTTGCCCTCGTCCACCGTCAGACATCTACTGTAGGTAATGAACTAACTATGGTAAAGCAACTCACACACAGACAAGTGCATACACAGTAGACCTTTGACAGAAACCCTACGCATAGCATAATATAGCATAGTAGTAAACAGAAACATTATGTAGTGCCACTGTGAACTAAAGGAACGCATACCTCACTCACACACATTTTCGTGCCCTGTGAGCATCGTGAAATAATACGTTGGGTAAATTACTGCTAAAATGGTTTAATCCAACGACAAATTATAGGACTGACCTACACACACACAAACATATGATTACCAATGTATTTCCTGCAAGCACACACATCAGTGACAGCTGTTGTTTTGGGGGCAACACGCACTGTGTGTGTGTCAGATGGTGCTGAATGACGGCAGTAACACACATGTGGACACAGAGAAGAACCTTGAAAGCACTTCTGTGTTTTTCTTAGGCATCCCTGACACCTGCCAGCCCCTCACACATACATACACAGTTAAAGCACCACCAATACACACAGCATGCCTGTGACAAAGCACCAACTAGAGGCTGATATACATTGTCACTCTTCCAAACACATACACACACACACAAATGGCAAAGGAACACACGCATGTTATATGTGAGCTAAAGCAAGGCACACTCAAAAAGCTGTAAAACATAATTACGAATGATGACACAGATCTGTGAAAACAAATCCACACCTGTATATGACAAAAAAACTCTCTCTCACTAGTCTGCTGTGCACCAGCACACACAAGAGAGCATGCTCTGCGGCATAACACACAACCTTTGACCCACAGGAAACAACGGGGTTGTTGGGGGAACAGAGTGAATAGGAATCCAAAATGAAGCGCGTTTCTGGCGCACACTTGTGCAAGATTGGATATGAATCAGAAACATTGATTTACACAGTCAGTTTTCTCCCTGGGAGCCATTACCTGATCACTGCCACGCAGATTCATAACCAGGGATGCATTCGTATCAATAAGACCAGTGGTTAAAACATTTTTTTGGGGGCGGGTTGGTTACGAAGCTGCGCCACGCCTGTGGGTTGCAACCAAAAGTTTGGGAACCACTAAATTAGACAATACCTAACGGAGTCATTACCTAACTGGCTGAGGCCCCCAACAACTGTCTGGGATGGTAGGAGTAATAGAAGTAATATACTGTCAGCCACCACAGAAATACCCAATCCCCCCCACCACAAGACCACGATGGGACACAGGAGGAAACTGGTTTCCTAGCCGGGAAAGCTGTCGGCCAAAACGGCACAACAGCAGGCAGCTGTGCGTCATCTGAGCCGTCACATAGTTACTGATGAGTGTTGATGAGTTGCACGT